TCCCCCCCCTCCCCTCTTCAAAACTTGGTCCACAGCTCTGCTTGGACCTGAGCACAGCTACTGTTTGAAGGCGCCGCGAGAACAGATTACAAGCAGAGGAATGGAAAGCGATGAAACGAGGGTTGCAGTGTATCAGAAGAATCCGATTGCTGTGATTAAGCCACCCATGTTGTTCTGAGGCTGTTCTTGTGTGACAGTGTGTGTCGGCCTGCACATACATCTGCGCTGAAGTCACAGGGTTTCTGATTATTCAACAGAATCATCAGACTCTGAAAAATTACAATTAACAGATCACAGTGGTACTAATGTGCATTTATTATATCTTAAAGTTCTGAAATGTGGAGAATAAAATAAAATTCTTGGGACTTTGGCTTCATGTATGCATATTTCTTAATTACTTATTTATTTTAATGCACATTTCAATTAAGTATAAATGAGCACATGCTTGATAGTAAAGATGTGGCTCACCTCTGACCTTTTCGTGCTCATCACCAAGATCGATGCATGGCATGCGCGTCCACTAAACCGCTGCTGTGCGCGTCGCCGTCACTTGCTGCGGGATTCAGGAGGCTGTGGTCGGACTCCGAAAAGACTCCTATCTACAAAATAATGAACAACAAATTTGACGCGTGAGTATTTAAAACATTTCGCTGAATATCCAGAGAGCGGTCTCGTCGGTCGCTGCTGTGAATTCACTGGGGAGGGTAACGTAAGCTGACCGTGGTTTGCGTGTGTGAGAGGTGTGTCAGCTTTATTACATGTTTTTGCATGAATTCTGTGAGTTAATAAAAGAACAGGAGTGCGAGGGCAACACCTAGACGCGCTTTTAAAAAGAAAGGGAGCAATATCTGTGAGTAAATAGTGCTTTTTGATGAAGAATTGCAGTGTTGTTAGCTGTTAGCTTGGCCTGGAGGAAGGCGGATAGGCCTCGAATCCTCGGTGTGGTAGTTAACTGAGAGGCGGGGAGAGGCGCGTAGAGGCCGGTCACAAATTAGACTCGCGTGGCCAATAAATACGGGAAGCTGGAGAGACACTTACACGCAGAGAGCTCTTATTAATAGTGACCGTAGGTTAAGATTAGCACAGAGCGCATGTTTGCAGGCCACAACTTTACAATGCATCAGTTGCAGGTTTATTGGGTTAAGTTGCCTTAAATGAATACAGCAGCCATGCTGCAAATCTTCTATTCGTCGAGGTTATAGTTTGTGTTCATATTTTTTTCTTGTATTTCTGATGTGTTGACCAGGATGAGGGCACAACTAAATAATTTAGATACTGGTTGCTGTAAGACGGTATAACGCCAACAGAATGGGTAACAAAATGACAAAAGATTTGATTTAAAACACTCTGTAAAAAGAGTTAAAATGAAAAGGGCTGTTACCTGACAACAGGTGTAAAGTCCCTTTTGATTTCAAATATTGATTGCATGATACAAATGTATTCTGCATTTCCCTCGATTGTAGTCTGAAAGACGATGACAGCGGAGACCACGACCAGGACCAAGGCTCACCGAAAGACGGTGAGAAGGAAAAAAACGAAGATGAAGAGAAGGAGCAGAACACTTCCAAGAAAAAAGTGAGGCCGCTAAAGTCTTACACAGATGTATGTGCAGATTGTGCTACTATTTGTTGAACAAAGGTACAGTTTCTTTAGTTTTGGTTTGTTTGTTAAACTATAAAATTTTGAACCTCTGGAAATGAATTAAACAGTAAATATAATTTTTGAAGAACCTCTTAAATTAAAGCAAAAAGTCTGCACTTTAATCACATGTTAATTATTAGATTTAAAATCCACTTTGGTGGTGTACAGAGGCAAAATGACAAATTATAGCTCTGAGTTTGTATAAAGTTAATATGTCAATGAGCTGTACAAGTTACACTCTCGTTTCCGGCAGATGGTGGTGCCAGGAGCAGGAGAACACCCTCTCCAGTACAATTACACCTTTTGGTACTCCAGACGCACCCCAGGGAGACCAGCCAGCACTCAGAGCTACGAACAGAACATCAAACAAATTGGCAGCTTTGCTTCGGTCCGTCGCTTCTCATCACATCTTTATATGGCTTAAAACAAGAGCCAGTGCACTTTTCCTTTTGTTTATCTGCCCATGCAGAAATTCACACTCCACATATTGACTTGTTTTCCACTAATTATTACAATTGTCCATCCCAGGTGGAGCAATTCTGGCGTTTCTATAGTCACATGATCCGACCTGGCGATCTGACAGGTCATAGTGACTTCCACCTCTTCAAAGAAGGCATTAAACCCATGTGGGAGGTAAACACACTGGCTGATATCTTCTATTTGCTCTGGTTGTTTGGTTATGCGTGAAAGGCCTGATCTGAAATTGTGTATGTTTAGGATGATGCTAATAAGATGGGTGGGAAGTGGATCATTCGTCTGAGAAAAGGCCTGGCGTCTCGATGCTGGGAGAACCTGATCCTGGCTATGCTCGGAGAGCAGTTCATGGTAGGAGAGGAGATCTGTGGGGCTGTGGTGTCAGTACGTTTCCAGGTAAAGCCAAAAGCAGACGCACTCGGTTGCACATGGTCACTAACTGCCTGACCTAACGCTCACACATGCCTCCTCTTCATGCTGCTTCTCGCCAGGAGGACATCATCTCCATCTGGAACAAAACAGCCAGTGACCAGGCGACCACCGCCCGCATCAGAGACACCCTGCGCAGAGTCCTCAACCTGCCCCCCAACACCATCATGGAGTACAAGACACACACAGACAGCATTAAGTATGTATGTCTTCTCCTTTTTTTATTTTCTTCTCCAGCTTTTCTTTCTCTTCAGCTCTTCCATAAACCTGCATGCTCACACACATTTTCCAACCAAAGAGGCAATGAGAGAGTACACTTACATGTTGCCTTTTTAATGGCTTGTTTTTAACATGCTCAGGTGATAAGATGATGGTTTTCTGTAAGTTAGATTTTTATTTTGACAGTATGTTTGGATTTTAAGGGAGAAATAACAAACACAATTATCAAAATGTTTTATTTTATTGTTTGAAGTATTATTCCAAATTGAAATGTATAACTGTGCACACAACCACATATCTTGTGCATGTCTATATACTAATATAATTTTACAAAACTCCCATATTTTTCTATTAGTTCATTATTAAAAAGAGAGAGTGAAACAAATGCCCATTTAACTGATTATAATGGTTTTCCATTGCAGTCTTAACCTTGAGTCAGTATTTCTTCAGTATACAAGAACTCAGTTCTGCCTTTTGTTCCCATTTTCATGCTTTTCAAAATCCAAATGGGGAAAAAACAACTATTTCTGTGTCCATGGTTGTCCTTTGTAGCTTTGAATGTGAATGCCTAGTATGATGGCTTTCAAGTCCTTTTACACAATCTCTATATCCTCATGTAGATGTTGTTGCTCTATTTTTTTTCTTGTTTTTTTTACTCATGGCGCTTGATATTAATGAGATGGGATGTTCGTGACACGCGTTGTTAAAACCTTCTGTTTATAATGGCCAGCCAGTCCAAAGAAAGGATAAAAAGCTAAAAGACCAACTTCTTCTGCGCGAAGGCACAGAAAAGATGCACAGGGATTATTTTGAGTTCTGAATCGTGCAAAGCTTCTCTAGTAAAGTCTAGAAATACCGATATGGATCTAAGAATAATAAGTCCCATTCATTCTAAAATGGCCTGTATAAATCTTTATAATATTGAAATGACCTCTGTTAGTATATTTCTTTATTTTGGCAGCTTTAGCTCATTTTCGTCATTAGTTTTTGGTAACTGTGAATACAACTATTTTTCTCATCTAAAGCTCTCATTCAGTTAACTGATGGGCTTACGATTTGTCCAGGAAAATGATTATATTTCTTTATGCATTTTACTGCGAATTATAATTTACTGCATCCTCCTCTGTTTGCAGAGCATGGGAAGACTTCCATGGTCTGGTGAATGCTAGCGGAGGACGTTAGCCCCCCCCTCACCGAGATGCTCAGCGAAGAGTAAGAACTCCTGCTGTGGGATTTCACATGCACAACAACACAACCTGTGTGATGTAGTTAGACTCTACTGATGTGGTCTCTGTTTGCGGTGTGCAGGTGTGTGCATACGGGATGTGTTGGGGGAAGCCGAGTCCAGAGAAGGGCAGCTCTGCGTGGATTGGCACTGCGTAATGCGAAGACAGAGCAAAAGTCGGGGACCGAGGCCAGGAGACCGTTGGGTCTTTGTGTCAAATTGGAAATGAACAGAAAAGCCTTTCAACAGAACACTGAAACAGGTCTATGAAAGAGGTGATTTTAATCAACTGGAAGAGGAATTACAGTTTTGTTTCTTTTTTTTTTTTTTTAGTAATGCAAGTTGTAACATCTTTTAACCAGTGAGTGACTGGTGTGGGCTGTTCTGGTCATGAACGCTCGACAAAGTGTGCTTTAAATACAACAGAATCAGTTGTACTCTATATGATTTTATTGCTTAACGTGACATTTCACCTGCTGTTAAAATAGGTGTGCTAATCAGTTTTATTGGGACTCAAACAGGGTTATTATAACACAGTGCTGTATTTTAACTACAATTCCTCTGGTCATTTTGGACTAGAACAAATATTAATGTTGTTTAAATGCAATCCACATCAAAGATCACTTAATACGATTTTTAAAAAAAAATTAAGTTGTATCCCAAAGGATGAGGATCCTGTGTTGGGCAGGTTTCTATAACCGGCATCTTTAGAATGAACTGCCAAGCTGCCTAAATCACTGTGCCTGGCCTCAAGCCCGACCTGAACCAGGTTTCCTTTCCCTGCCTTCTCCTTTCTTTACCCCACCTTTTAAAGGAAGGGCTCTGCTTTAATGTTAAAGGTGTATAGGAGTCCTGAAACACTGATATTCACTCCTTTTCCATTTTGTAGTCCACAAAAGAAAACTGGGCCCAGGGTCTGTTACAGTTTTTATCCTGGGAAGCTTTTTTTTTTTTTTTTTTTTTTTTTTTTTTAATATGTTAAGAAAGAGCCTACAGTTTGTTGAAAAACTGTAATGCTGCCCTTATTTGTTATTGTGATGATGGATGCAGGTGTGTGTGAGTGTGTGGAAAGCGAGGAAACACTGTTGGATGTACACCTGATGGATTATAGCAATAAATGGTAAATATGCATCTGCTGCTAAAGATGGTTTAGTGCCATTTTTTTTTTTTCATAAACGCTGGAACTGAAGCTGTGGAGTTTGCAAGAAGGCGAGATTCCTCTTTATCCACTCTTCTTTCTTCCCAGACTGGGAAGCTTGGGTGCCCGTTGGTCTGTAAATCATGTGATGATGCTGGTCAGCTCATTTCAAAAAACATATGATTCTGCAGAGAAATCATTCAGACAGGTTAGAAACAGTGTTAGTTTTTCTTTGTATTAAAATGTCTTCATGTATGCTTTTTATGGCTTTTTTTTTTTTTTTCTTTTTTAATTTATTTTTTTTTGTTTTGTTAGAGAAAGAAAGCAAGTGTGCAACACGGGGGGAGAACAGTTTGAACACTTTTTGGCTCAAAGTAATAATTTACTCCTTAAAGAATCTTTACATAAGCAGATTTTTGATGCTTGCGATTGATACCCGAGGAAGATCCCACACATCAAAATGTTGCTTTTGTTACATGCAAACATGTTGGTTGTTTGCATGTAACCTCAATATAAATTATAATCTCCAGTTGTAATGCAAGTTCCAATTAAACCAAATCGTGAAAGGCTCCTTACGAGCCAATACATCAAATATTATATTCTAATATTACAGTGCACCTATCTGGGATCATCTTAATATCGTGTCCTGATTTTTATACTGAACCGCTGATTTCCAGTTAGTATACAATGATCCCAAGGCAGGGATGTCAAACATACAACCTGATTGGTCCTACCAAAGGATCCAATCTGGACCAAAAGCATTTAGGAAAATTAAAAAGAAAAAAACATCAAATGAGGAGGGCATGAACTTAAAATATGTTTAATAATTGCTCAGTCAAACTAGAGTGAAAATAGGACAGAAACCTCCTTGCAACTTAAAAAACAAAAAAACAAAAACCTTTATCAAAGCATTTAAAAAATGATTAAAGGTATTTGTAATGACCAGCTGCTTACCAAGAGATGGAGCGTGTCAGTGATCATGAGACAATTGCAAAGATTGCCGGGTGGGAAGGAACTTGTCTTCTAGAAATATTGCATCTTATTGCCAATTTGACCTCCATTCAGTCACAGAGTATGCAGATTCTGTCTTATTGTGGTTTTATTGATTTATTAATGCACAAAAGTCATTTTGAAGACAGCAGCTGACTGTGAGTGTTTGCAGATCTGGTCCTTGTCTTCAAAGCAACCACCAGTACAGATGGACTAATGATACTGTTAGCTAAATGTACTTTTATATTAATATGATTAACAGTTGAAATCGTTACCTAAAATTACAAATCTATAAGTTATTCACTAAAATTCTAGAATAAAATTAAAATTGTTAGCTGCTGTTTGAAATGATTATGAAAAAGTATGAATGAACAGATAAAACTGTTGCTGAAGGTTTATTCATTAGTAAGCTAATTTATTCATAACACATACTTGCAACTAAGTCTTCAAAGTCTAATGTACTGAGGTAGAAACTTTGGGAAAGGTATAATTATATTGTGTATGACAAAACATCTTCCCACCGACGGACACACGTGCTTACCAACAGGAAAGTGGCTGCCAGGAGAAGGAGTTTGGTGTGTGACTCCATACTGAGTGGAACTAGAAGATGAAAATAGAATACATACAGTTGTACTAAAGCCGTGATTAAATAAACTATGTTTGTGACTTTGGCATACTTAGAAATGTTAAAGAAGTCTGATACTAGCCAGAGAGATGCAGTTAATGTTTGGCAACTATTTTTTTCTTTTTTTTTAAAAAAAAACAATCTAGTGGTGTTAGTTGTCCCTGTAAATATCATGGAACATTCTTTTTTTTCATTAATTTTTTATAAATTAAAAGCATTCACTGGTGACTTTATTAGGTACACCTGTTTGGCTGCTTGTTAACACAAATCTGACCAGCTAATCGCATGCCAGCAGGTCGAAGCTTTTAGGCATGTGGTTGTGATGAAGACACTGACGTTAAAGGTAAAAGTGCCTTGTTGATGCAAGATGTCAGAGGAGAATGAGCAGATTGCTTCAAGCTGGACGGGAACACAAAGTCAAATAATACTAACTTTATTATTAAGGTTATATAGCACTTTTCTAAACAGAGTTGCAGCCAAGGTATGCAGAAGACGGTGTCTGAATGCACAATACATCAGGCGTGCTCTTGCATACCTAGCAGAGCTACAGCAGACCACACTGGGTGCCACTCCTGTCAGCTATGAATAAGAAGTGCATTGAGGTGACTGTTGTTGAGGTTTGGTGCTATGAATAAAACTGAATGTTGTTGATTTCTGCTGCAACATTCAGTTGTTTCAGAATTTAAAATGAACAGTGTGGAGTCATCGATCCATCTTGCCTTGTATAAATGGTTCAGGCTCCTGGTGGTGTAATGGTGTGCCAAATATTTTTTTGGCACTCTTTGGACTCAGTATAAACAGCATTTAAACACCACAGCATACCTGAGTATTGTTTCTGACTGCGTCCATCCCTTTATAACCACAGTGTACACTTCTGATGGCACCATGTCTGAAAGCTCAAACTGTTTTTTTTTAATGTGACAGTGAGCTCACTGTGCTCCAATGGCCTCCAGTCACCAGGCCTCAATGTAATGGAGTAACTTTGGGATGTGATGGGAAAAGGAGATTTACATCATGAATGTGCAGCCAAAACTTCTGTTGCAACTGTGTGATACTGTCATGTCATGATAGACCAAAGTCTCTGAGGGGTGTTTGCAGCAACTTGTCGAATCTCTGGCACAAAGTATACAGGCCAAATATACTGCACTTTAGTACTAGCGAGGTGTACCTAATAAGGTATCCGGTGAGTGTGCTTTATTATATTGGTCTGTTGTTTTTCTTTCAGTCACGTTTCTTATCTGTTCAGTAATTAAAAGTATCAGATCTGAAGAGGTCGATTAAAGTAAACTTGGTCCAAAACTAAACTTTGGGAAATGTAAATGTTCTCTGGCATCCTGTCAAAGAGAAATTAGGAATTTAATTTAATGAGGTAGAACTCACCCTCCAGCCCAAAGTATTCATGGTCCATGTTGTGTTCTTCGTTGAAGCCAGGCCATTTCTTCCATATCGTGCCTATTTCCTCACCAATGTTGGAGACAATCTAGTGTATAATTTAAAACTGCATGAAAGCACTACTGCAATGTTACAGTTTTCAGTCACACATATACTTTTATGAGTTATAAATATTCCTACCTGGAATTGTTGGTTGGAGAAGCAACGGCATGGACAGCAGGAGCTCTGGATTCTGATGGTAGACGCCCCTCCTGAAGTGCAGACCTCCAGGAGGGGTGTAAACATGCTCCACCTGAAAACATGGTCACCAACACACAGCAACTCAGTAACCGTGCACTAAGCCTCCTGGCAAATAGACTGGCCAGTGCTTCACACAGAGGCGCAGCCCGGTCTTGATGGTTGGATGATTGCATTTTCAGCTGTCATGATTCTGCAGCACCAAAGCAATTGTTTGCTCGGTGTCAGAAGAGTTCAATTTGGGACATGCTTTATTAGAGCACAACTGAGAGAATATTTATACCAAGTCGAACTCTGGTCACTGAAACCTCTGCCAGGCCAGTCCTAATTGGGCACAACTTCACCGACTGTTGCTTCTGGAAAACTCTAAATTCGACACACAAAGACACCCCCGCTAACCCTGGAGTCAGATTTAGGCCAGATGAAGAAGGAAGTATTTTGGGTTGACGACAGAAGAGCCGTGAGCCTGCCATGCCATTGGCCAACATTCCCATTAGGAAGGATGTCGCATTCCTTCCCCTACGAGCCCACGCCAGCTCTGTTGGTGTGTTTTTGTGTGCAGACAGCTGTGCTGTGCATTAACCATCCCAGGTTTATATTACACTCAGGCTGTTCAGAACAGTAAAGGCCCCGACTGCTATTTACAGACAGGCCTGAGCATCTAGGGTGGGCCAGTGTGGTCTCAGGCCTTGAATGACATGGAAAAAGGCTCACATGCAAAGTGTTTAGTCTGACAGTATAAAATGCTACTGGTGTTTGTTCACTCAAATTAAAAATGTAAAATTATAGTAATAATAATAATAAGAAAAAATACTATGTGAACGTTATTCTTCAAACTCAAATGATCCACAAAACAACCATTTTATCCAGACTAGTTCCTTACTTCTAGGCTGGACTGCTGTAACTCATTATTATCAGATTCTTCTAAAGGTTCCCTGAAAAGCCTTCAGTTGATCCAAAATGATGACAGGAACTAGGTACTGATAGGGATCAGAAAGAGAAAGCATATTTCTCCCATACTGGTTTCTCTTCATTGGCTCCCTGTTAAATTCTGAATCAAATTTCAAATCTTTCTGATCACATACAAGATCTTGAATAATCAGGCCCCCTTTTATCTGAAAGACATCATAGTACCATATAACCCCAATAGAGCAGATTGAGGTTTAAAATTTTCCTTTCTAATCAACTTATAGTTAGGGCTGGACTCTGGACTCTGGCTTTTCCTTCCCTGTGTCGCCAACTGCTTGCTCACAAGGGGGTCATCTGCTCGTTAGGGTTTCTTTCTAATATTGTTGGGTCTTTACCCTACAGTATAAAGTACTTTGAGGTGACTGTTGTTGTAAATTGGCACTATATAAATAAAACTGAAATGAATGAGTGCAGACTAAAGACTTCTGCGGACTCCTTCAGACATAATTATATTTATGTTTATAATTTTTGTTAACCCATTAACCAAAGGCCAGTAGTTGGTAAAATTCAGTTCATTAGATTTCGCAGAGAACCTAAAGAGGCTGATGTATGAAGTATGTCTCCTTAATATAAATCTTCACCACTAACTTTACCTACTTTATATATTCCCTCTACTTATAACAACAGAAGTGAGCTATATAAGCTTCAGTGTGGCATGATCACATGTAATTTATAACTACTGAGCAACATAAGGAAACAAACTCATCAGCGTTTAGTAGGAACATATATACACCAAGGAATGAACAAGTTTCCTACCTCTGATGTACGGTGCCAATGAGATGGTTTTGAGGTGTGTACGCTCTCATCTCCATCAGGCAGCAGCCGAGGCAACAGGCGTCCACCCTAAGGGGCCTTTCAAAATAAAAGACCTGACTGCCCTCACTGTCAAAGCCTTTCAGGGTGTAGGCCCGAGCTGGACCACAGCACTGCAGACACACACAGGAGCTCTCTAAAAGGAGGGAGAAGCGAACAAATGTTGAGAATATGCTGAAAAACATCAGTAGTTATAAGAGTAAGACACGTGGTGGAACGGGACAAATACCTTCCACAGCCACAAATGACTGTGACCTGTTGCCTTCTGTTGTGATGTTATAGATCCTCCTAGAAACACACTGAGGACCTGCAGTCAGGATGTGGTATTTTCTTAACGCACACACATCTAAACAAGAGTCCTGTTTTATGTAAAAGAAAAAAGTAGTTCTCCTCACCTTGCAGCTCTGGCTTGGCAGTGATATGAATCTCACTAGCAGTTTCCAGCACAGACATAAAGCATGATCTCACTTTACTACCAGTCTTCTTCGCTGGTGGCAGCATCAAGCCATTCTCAGCAGTCTGGCCCAAAAACTGCTCTTCAGATTCCAGGTCAGGAGGCATTTGGTGAGATTTGGGTGGAGTGCTTTGAGTCTGGCACTCACAAGAGGGTCCACAGCGGTTGTGAAAAGCCCTGAAGACCATGTGAATATGCTTCTCTCGCTCAAGTCGTCCAAGGGGAAGAGGCTGATTGATCACGGCTGACATGGTCTCAAACTAAAAAATGAATCATACCGAAACCTTAAAGAAAACATTTGAAGGATGGATGCTTTAACTCACACTCAGTCTATAGGCTGCAAGCAAGTTACTTAAATAAAGTATAGTAGGTGCTTAAAAAAGAAAATCCACACACATCTTTCATTATTTACAAACCAAATTCCCCCAAAAGTTGTGAAAGTGTGTAAAATGTAAATAAAAACAGAACATGGCAGCCACATGTATTAAAAAAGCTGTGAGCAGGGCCATGTTTACCCTGTGTAGCATCCCTCCTTCTTTTAATAACAGCCGGTAGACATCTGGGTACTGAGAAGACCACCTGCTGCACTTTTAGAAAAGCTACGATCATATCTGCTCAGCACTGCTGGATCTTTGTCATATTTTTGTTTAATGGTGCAATTAACCTAATTAGTTGTAAAATGTTCCTCCAGCTGTTTCCTTTGAGTACCACTTACTTTCCCAGCCTTTTGCCCACCCCAATTTTCGGAGCCATTTTCTCAGTTTAAACGTTTGATATGTTTTCATTGTTCTATTGTTAAGAAAATGTAGGTTTATCAGATTTTCAAACAATTGCATCACAACTTTTTGGAGCTGGTGTTGTGCCTTAAATACTAAATATTAATCTGACAAAATGATAAAACATTCACTAAAACGGTCTCAAAATCATAGCAAATAGATCTTTATCATGTAAGCTTGTAATTTAAAATGTAATTAATTTTTATGTTGTGATCAAAAATTTGATACGGAAAAAAATGGAGCTTTCCTTCTCCTGTACTGTGTTTCTTGGCAGTTCCCTGGTATCAATATTAACATCCTCCTTGCAATAGCTTAATACTTTTTCACATTCAGATCACACGCTAATATTCCTGTCTCACCCAGCCTGCAGCTGCAAGTAGCAGCTCACAGCATCAAACCGAAGCGCCCTTGTATAAACATTGATAGCTCAAGAGTTTCTATACTGGCTAAGATCTTCCTGGAGCCTTTACTTATCATGGTTTTCCAATAAGAGATTAGAAAGAAAGAAAACAGCACAAAAGAGCATCAGAGGCCTGCTTACCATCAGTGTTCACCCTCCACAGACTCGGATCATCTAAGTGTTACGAGCAAGAAACCAGGCGAGCCTACATGAGTTATCATTATCTGGAGGGACTAAGCCTTCTAACCCCCCGTGTGTTTGTGTGGCTATTCACATAGCAGTGTTTGGCTTTGTGAGTGTTTTCGGACTTCTCACTTCAGCTCCATCTCAAAACGACTCTGTTTCCATCCCAACCAGCCGGATCTGCCTTTTGTTGGGGTAGAAAGGCACCACTCAGTCATGTAATTGAAATGCTTCCAGAGGAGGGGGGGCTGTGCGGGATATTTGTGCTTCAGTGGCAGGTTTGGGAGTGGAGGGGTGGGGGCAGAAACTTTCCACTGGCCTCAAAAATGACTCAGTCACAAAAATCACGCAATTAAAATGCTTTTATTGATAAAAAGAAAGATTCTCGTAGATTACAACGAATGAAATCTGTGGTCGACAGCATGTCTCGTGGCTTGTGCCCATCGTTTTGTTAAAAATGAACAGCACTAAGAGCAAACACTGAGATGTAAGTAAGGAGACCATCTTCTACAGCATTAAATGCAACACAAACAATCTCAACAGCCAGGACAGCTGATACAGTATGCATTCACACAATGGTGCAGTGGATTGTACTTGCTTCTGTGATCGTCCGCAGGCCCACAGCAGGCACCTGTGCAGAAAACACATACAGCTGCATCTTCTCCATTCTTTGTATCATAGTCATTAGTGAAAGATCACTAATGAAGGCTGTCAGATTCTCACTCTGGGTAAAGTGATAACATCAAACAATTTCTCCCTGGTTCACCCTAAGGCGTTTGTTTCCATTCCTGCTACAGCAGTAATGTTGTGTAGTGGAGGGAGATACTTCTTTGGATCCCCAGGAAAAGGTGTAGAGGGCGGCTGGTTGAAGTGGCCCATCAAGAAGATGCCAATAGTGCCGATAAAAAACACCAACACCATGACAATAAAGCAGACCCTGTCGATGACACGGGCAACCAGGAACCATTCTTCATTTTCCTGAGGTTGAGTGAGATGATACATTGCTATTAGCTCTGCCATTCCCAACTAAGAACTCATCAAAATGTCCATTGCAAATGTGCAAAGAGTAAAATGGTTAAGCATACACTCTGGAAGTCATTCTGCTGTCTTGCAGTCTCAGCAATGTGTTTGCAGGATGCCACACACTGCTTCAGCTCTGGACTGGCCTTTGCTAGACTATTAACAAGGTGCTGTGCTGTACCCCCCTCCAGGCCATCATCTGGAGTCATATATTCACAAAAAGCCATTTATTTATGTGTTATATTTATGCATTTCAAAGGATAACCTAAACTGTCAAAAGTTTTTTTTTTTTTTTTTTAAAAAGTGTAACAAACTCTTTCAAATACTTACGTAGCTTCTCCAGCACTGATTTCATCAATCCATTTCTCCCTCTGAGTTTGTCAAACATGAGCTCAGACCGAGCTGTTTTCATTACGTATTCCTCCGCCTTAGTGATGACGGTGATAGAGCTGCGGCGACGGCAGGGAACCAGGTGGACACCATTCCTGCCCGCAGACACAGTTCCACCATTTCTCATTTCTGATGCATGGCCGCCGTTTGGTGTCCAGGGTTGCATCTGCATCCTAAGTAGGCGAGGCAGGATGTTTAGGAAGATCTGAGGGTGACACGGTGTTTAAGATGAAATCACGGCTAAATAGACGTGTGTTCCCTTCATTGAGCAGCTTTAAAAGATATTCAAATGATTCAGACACAGCCTCACCTTCCGGACTTTGTCTGCCATTTTGTGAGTGTTTGGGGTTCTCAGGGATACGTTGAGGACTACGACACTGTTTATCACTACCATGGTGGTCACCGACATCACAAACATCAGATACCTGCGGTCAAATGTTCGTATCATATTTAACACAAACCTAAAACTCTGAGCTGAAATCTGAAAGTGAGCTGCTTACTTTCCAATAAGAGGCACTGCTTGAGAAGTCTCTGGAACCTTCTTAGCAATGAGGAAGAGGAACACAGTCTGGCCCAGAAGAGTCACAACAGACATGGTGCACTTCTGACCACCAGCTGTAAAACCAAAACCAGTACTCCGTCAGGGTGGCGCAGTTTTGACCTACTGTATGCATCAACGGCTAGATCGTCACTGTATTTCTATGATCATAGGTCAAAATCCTGACTCACTGTCTACGTACATCAACAGGCACAACATTATGACAGGTAAAGTGAATAACACTGATTATGTCTTCATCATGGCACCTGTTAGTGGATGGGCTATATTAGGGACCAAGTAAACTTTTTGTCTTCAAAGTTGAGGTTAGAAACAGGAAAAATGTGCAAGCATGAGGATTTGAGCAAGTTTGACAAGGGCCAAATTGTGATGGCTAACCGACTGGGTCAGAGCATCTCATATTTTGCAGCTCTTATGAGTTGTTACTGGTCTGCAGACCAAATGTGGTCCAGGGAAGAAACAGTGGTGTACCAGCAACAAGGTCATAGGCAGCAAAGGCTCACTGACACATGGGCAGCAAAGGCTGGCTCGTGGGGTCCAATCCAGCAGCCGAGCTCCTGTAGTTCAAACTACAGAAGAAGTTCATGCTGGTTCTGATAGAAAAGTGTTAGAATGCACAGTCCATTGTAGCTTGTTGCATATGAGGCTTCAGACCTACATATTCACTCGAAAATTCCTTACAGTTCAATTCAAATACATTTTATTTATATTGCAATTACAACAACAGTCGCCTCAATGTGCTTTAATTGTAAAGACCCTTCAATTATACAAAGAAAACCCCAACAATCAGACAACGCCCTATGAGCAAGCACTTGGTGCCAGTGGGAAGGCAAAACTCCCTTTTAAAAGGAAGAAGCACTTTTTCTTTTACATCACGTGGATGGCCAGGTGTGTGTGCATCACTTACCTGGGAAACACCTGGCACCAAGATGCACTATGGGAAGAAGGTGAGCTGGTGGAAGCAGTGTTATGCTTTGAGCAATGTTCTGCTGGGAAACCTTGGGTCCTGCCATCCATGTGGATGTTACTTTAACATATACCACCTATGTAAAGATTGTTGCAGACCATGAAGAAGGTTTCATGGAAACAGTATCCCCTGATGGCTGTGGCCTCGTTAAGCAGGATAGTGCTTCCTGACACAAAGCAAAAATGTTTCAGGAATACTTGGCCTCCAAATTCCCCAGATCTCAGTCCAGTCGAGGATCTGCAGGATGTACTGGACAAACAAGTCCAGTTCATGGAGGCCCTGCCATGAAACATACAGGACTAAAGGATCTGTTGCTAACATCTTGGTGCCAGATACCAGAGCACACCTTCAGGGCTCTGGTGGAGTCCAGCAAAAGATGGACCACCACAGTACTAGGCAGATAGTCATGATGTTATGACTGATGGGTTTATGATCACACTTTACACAAAGTAAGAAGAAGAACCTTTGGCAGGTAAGTAGTAGACTAGCAGGCCGAGGGAGGAGAAGAGGACGCAGGGAGCAATAATGTTAATGATGTAGAAGACAGGCTTCCTCTGAATGATAAGAAAGAAGACCAGCTCCTGATACTCCAGGTCATCTTTGGTGTACTGAGTGTTGATCACCTTCTTGGCTGGTCTGTGTCTGATAATCCACTCTCCATTCTCTAAAAAACCCAAAACAAAAGTCTTTAATAGTCTTTTATCACAAGAAAAACAGTTTCTTCTTCTTTATATGAACCAATGGATGTCTTTATTGTGTTCACTAATTTCAAATCTATTCTTCAAATACCTGTAAAGGCCTCTGGGTCGATATCCACCCACTCTAATGTGATGTCATCTTCTTTTGTGAGAACCAGCTCGATCTCATTGGCGCTGTAAGTCTGCGAGCTGAACACATTGCACAGAACATGCGGTCAGAGTCGACCAGTCAACACCTTCATCGGAAGAGCAAGAAGGTAACATGATTGAAGGAAGCTGATTGCTGTTGATTTAGACACTCTGGATTCTTTTTACATGTCATGCATCGGCCTTTTAAACAGCACCCTGAATCATTCATGCTTCTCTTTAACATGGAACAATCCCAGACAACATGCCAGGGATCACAGAGGCCTACACATTTCCTCCAAATTCATTTACAGTTCAATTCAATTCAATTCAATTCAATTTTATTTATACAAGAAGAAATTACATCAACAGTTGACCCTATAAAAATACAGAGAAAACCCCAGCAATGAGAAAACCCCCGATGAGCAAGCACTTGGTGACAGTTCGAAGGCAAAACTCCCTTTTAACAAAATACCTCCGGCAGCACCAGGCTGAGGGAGGGACAACCATCTCCCTTGACCGGTTGGGGGTGACAGACTTGTGATTGCTTGCTCTTACCGGAAGACCATGGTGCAGTTCTGCCAGTCGAAGGGAAAATAGTTCACAGTGATGGCACAGGCGCTGTGGTAAATAGCAGGAGGCAGCCAGGACACACAGCCATCAGGAGACACCAGTGCATTGCAGTAAAGAGCTACCTCAAATTGTCCATCAATGCTACGGACCAGAGAGAAGATGAGAAAGATGGTGTATGGTTTATCTGCAGTTTAACGCATACATTCGTGCACGCATGCACACATCAGGCCTCATTCATGTAAATTTCACACGTACAGGCTTGTAGATTTAGCTTAGATAAGAGAAACTTTACCTGGAAACAAATACATCTGTCATCATAATGTGATAATATGTGTTTTTAAATGGTCGCAATAGTATTAAAAACTAAATCTGCCTCTAACAGTGTGAGAGTGCAGAACCTGAAAGCGCTATCTGAAGTTCACTCATGACTTCTTTTACCTAAACTCTGCCCTTTGCTTCCATTTTTGCAGCACTGTGCTTCTCCTTGGCGAGCACAGAGGAAAGGAGATTTTAGAAACACGATGTAATGTTTACCTTTCACTAGGGTTGGTTGAGCTCAAAGAAAACAGAACCAAAGTTTTGTTTAAAAAAAAGCCTGCTACATCTTTGGTGAATGCTTTCTTTGCCTCCCACACGTTGTTTGGTTTACTTTCAAAGTACTTTAGGTGCATTTACAATGCTTTAAG